TTTGGAGGACATCCATTGGCCACGAAGCTAAATAGTTTTGATAATCTTCATCGCGCCTAAATTAAACTAACCTACATGGCCAGTCACAGGCAAATGGGACACTTTAGTCCTCCACTTACCTGGCTCAGCCTCTTACCAAATGACAAAGGGCAGGCCTGGACAAGTGTTCTGCAGACAAACAGCTCCCAGAGAGGAAGGGCAAAGGGCTGAGAGCAGACCACACCCGTTTCCTTCTTCCGAACTCATTCTTTCTCCCATGATAAGAAAGAAAGAAAAGGGAAGAAAGAGAAAACAGATATTATTATTCAAGAAAGTCTTTTCATATGGCTTGAGGAAAAAAAAATACGTGCTTCTCTTAAACAATGACTTGCTCAGCGTATTGTAGCGTTAGTTTGTACCTGAAAAATTTGAGGCCAGCTCTGAGTCCAAAGATCATGCTAAGATATTTCTGAAAATAATGCCTGTGCCCACTGATTCAGTACTCCAGAAATGAAATGGGCTGCTCCAACCTCCTCTTCTTTTTATTTCCTCCATACACAAATGAACTCCGTGTCAGGGTACTACAAGTGATCATGTAGGATATTTAAAAGAATACTGCACCCAGAACCAGGACGCTTTGTTTTACTGCCAGGTCTTTCTATTGTTCTTAGATAAGAAAGGATTAAAAAAAAAAAAAGTACATAATGCCTACTTGGTGCCCAGCACTGCATTAGGGTTTTCATATATCATCACCAACCCTCGCCACAACCTTGAAGGCTGTCGTCGCTGTCTTACACGTGAAGACACTGAGGCACAGGTTAAGTTGACCCAAATAACACAATTAGGGTGAAGTTAGGCTGCAGACTCAACGTTTCTGATCCTAAATCCGGGTTTTTTGTACTTCACCCCCGGATCTCTCAAACCATGCTTACATTGAGGTTCCCTCTCTGTAGAATGAGACAACTAAACTAGTTGATCAACGAGGTTCTTTCTGGCTCTCAATGTCAACTTCTCAAAGGGTAAATGAACTAGAGAATGGTTACTGGTATCTATGAAGAAATGGATGAAGAAACTTATAAAATGCATGTATGTGTGTACACACATGCACACACATGTACATATAATTATTTGTTTCTTTTTTTAATACTTAGAAGTGGTTTTACTAGTTTATTTATTTCTTCGACATTTCAAAATCTGCCTGAGCCATTTTTCCCTTCTCGTGAGTCATGCTCATCTCTGCTCTGTTTCTACCTGTTTTTAGCTCTCACATTTCCTCTCCCAATCACAGCATCTCAAATCTTCACTATCGAAAGACTGGTAGAAGAATCTTTGCCAATGGCCCCAGACATGCCTGATTGAAGCTGGAATCTTCCACCCTCATACACAGCTGCTTTCACCCCCACCCCTACCCTCATATACAGCTGCTTAATCTGGGGAAGGTTATATGAGTCCTCTGACCTGAGTTTACTCACCTTTAAATTGGAGCTAAAAATTATTCCTTGTACAGAAGGTGTTGTGAGGATTCAATGTAACAAATGTCAAATTTCAGGCACATAGTAGATGGTCGGTGGGCAGCGGCTATACTAATGACTATGTCATGCCCTTCTCTCTTTCTCCAGAAGAGATGCTGGCTGAAAATGATCGGCTTTATCAGGAGCTTTTGCAAGTATCGCAGATTTATGTCTGATATCAATAAGCGCCAGGAATTTGAAGAATATCTTCGCCTGGAAGTACAGAACCACAAGGAAAGTGAGTCACTTCTCTGTTTACTCCCCTTCCCTGTCAATATTTCAGTCACGGGGATTAGCCCAGATATGAAGCTGCTGAGCTATTGCTTTGTGTCATGCCTGTGTTAGCCTAGGGTCTAGCAAGAACCCAAGATCCTGGGTGTAAAGCCAAGCCCTGGCCTGCCCAGAGGGAATACGGCCCCAGTGGCTTCCGCTCAGGGAGCCAGAAAGCGTGGAGAATGACTGATCTGGAGCACGACGAGATCTCACATTTTACAAAACTATTTCCTTATGTTGTTTGTTCATAGCAGAGATTCATTCATTCATTCATTCAACGCACCTTTTGAGAATGTGGCAGGCACTTTGCGGGGTGCTAGGGATACAGTAGTGAACCTGCAGCATAGGGTCTGCCCTCAAGGCACCTAAAGTTTTGAGGGCAAGATGGAAAATAAGAGCCGTAGATGTTAGAGCCAGATTGCCCGAGTTTCGAATCTGCCACTTCTAACAGAAGAACCCTGTGATAGTGACTTCGTACCTCAGTTTCTTCATTTATAGAATCGAAATAATAATTATGCCTATGCCACAGGGTTGTTGTGAGGATTAAGTGAGTTAATACATATAAAGCTCCTTAGAACTATTCTCAGTAATAGTAAGTGCTATGAAAAGGTTAGCCAGTATTTTTTAACTGTTATATAATCGCGAAGCATGATCCCAATGATAATTGTAGGGAGACCCTAATTAGTCAAGGGGTAGGATCAGAGAAGACTTCTCCCAGAAAATGACATAAAGTTGAGTTTTCAGGGATGAGCAAATTAGGCAGGCAAAATAGTAGAGGAGCAATTTCTGGGTCTGCATAAAATCCTAAAATAAAGAAACTGTAGGTTCAGGTAGACTAGAGCTTAATGAGATGGGGCAAGTGTCTGAGATAAGCCTGAACTGATTGATAGTGACAAATCTCATCTCTCTTGATGATTTTTGAGTCATTCCAACTCTCATTTTATCAAACAACTGCAAAATATAACGTATTTTGCAATTGTGTGCTTCTATGAAATAAATTTCTTAAAATGGAAGTAGTGGGTAAACGGTTAAAAGCAGTTCAATATTGACCCTCTAAAAACATTGCACTAATTAAACTCTTACCAACAGTGTAAATGAGTGCCACATTGTCACCAACATGGGGTATAAATACATTTTTTAAAAACTGTGAATCTGGTAGATGAAAAATAATGTACCACTTTTTTGTACACTTCTTTAGTAATTGAGCACCTTTATCCATTGGTCATGTCTAATCTTTTTTGAACTGTTTATGTCCTATTTTTCTATTATAGTTTTAATATTAATATTTTATTTTCTAATTTGCAAAAAGGTTTTATGTGCATGTTTTATGAATTGCTTTACAACCAAACATTTTAAGAATAGTTCTAGCTCTTTGGTTTTTCCTTTTAAATAAAACCAGCTCGAACTTTTATGCCCAGGATGTAGGAAGTCCAATTTTACCCTCCTTTGACTTCCTGCATCCCCAGCTTTACATGTGCACCCCTTCCTGCAGCTCAGAGGGAGAGGTACCTGACCAGTGGTCTGCTTTCTATCACGGTGGGCTAGCCTTTTCCAGGATTGTTATGTCCTCCAAGTAATTGACCCGTTTATCGTTATGAAAAGACCTTCTTTGTCCTTGGCAATATTCATTCCTCTGCAGTCTACTTTGCTTGATATTAAAATAGCCACTCCAGCTTTCTTTTTATTACTGTTAGCATTTGTACCTTTTTCCATTTCTTTTACTATAACCTATTTATGCCTTACATTTAAAGTGCTTTTTGTCTATAGCCATACCACCCTAAACACGCCTGAGCTCATCTACAGTGCTTTTCTTATAGCCAGCATATAGCCGGGTCTTGTTTGGGGGGAAAAAAAAAAATCCAACCCGATGACCTTGGTTCAGTTGAGAGCCAATTGTTAAACATTTAGGTATTTTCTGAGCCAGTTGACAAACGTTTCATCGATAGCTTGATAATCAACCATGGTGGCAAATAATACAAATCGGGTCTCCCCATCTCCTACCAGAGAAGGTTCATAAATACACCACCGCTGACAGATTTCTTGGGCGGATTTAGCACCCTCTTTTCCTAAAATCTCTGACTATCATATCAACTTCCACTGCAATTCAGACATTTGTTCCCTTCAAACTCAATCTCAGAGATAAAGAGAGACTGTAAGATAGTCGGAAGAGACCTCGTGATTCGTTCAGTGCTGGAACCGTGGGACTAGTTCAGTGTCTGGGACACGACGAGTGTGAGGTATTTATTGAATGTTGTAGTTATCCTGCCATCGAAAGGAATCCCACTTCTACCGTAGGGAGCACCACGCCCACATCAATTACCCCTGAACACATATCCACGATAAAGTGTTTGTCGAAGGAATGGTAAACTGTCGAGCTGGATTAGACAATTTTCTTAAACCCAGTCAGGCAATAAACTAGGGTCTACTGGTCAGATCCAGACCCCAGTTGCTCCTTCTCAGCCCTGAACCCCTATGGTGCACTTCTTTGAACATATCCTAGTCAAGAAACTTTCTGAAATAACTGTCTTAGTTTTCTGAGACACAATCTAAACCTTCTGGAAACTTCTATGCTCTCTTTTACTCATTCCTGTCTTTTTTCTACTCTAGCTTCCTACTTTCTGTTTCTTAATAAGCTTCTTTTTCACTCTTTATGTTTTGGTTTTTCCTTCCTGCTGTTTTCCCAGTTTACTTCTCAATTACTTCCCTAATCAGCCTTGAATAAGCATCATCAAAACCACACACTCCTTTTCAAAGGTCACCCCTGCATAGTTAGTTTCTGCAGAAATGTTAGGGATTAGCTTTTATTAGCTTATACGGTATGCTTATATTTCTATTAACAAGCACCAGGAAAACACCTTTTAATACTCATTTTTTGTTGTTGTTGTTGTTGTTGTTATGTATGTTATCATACCACCTGAGAAGATGTCTTCTTCAGCAGTCCTTTAAGTCCGAGTGAAAGGTTGGGTCCAGTGGTGGGGAATCAGTATTTCAATAGGCCCAAAGGTGGGTTCAGAGTTTCTTTTCTTCATTTTAGTTAGGCCTGGGTCAGAGGCTTCAGGCTGAACAGTGACTTGACCAGGCTGGATGTTAATTTCTTTTCCTTTCCCTTTCAGATTACTCTGCATCACCAAACGTATCAGGACGCCCAACCCCATGCCACTCAAATGTCCGGGGTGCAGACCAGGAGAATGGAGATATAATCCTTGCAAAGCGACGTGTATTTGGCCATAGGGTTGTCATTGTCAACTTTGCAATCAATGATATATATTTCTTTTCTGAAATGGAGAAGTAAGTTCCCATCTCTCCTTCCCCTCATTGCCATCCATGCCTTGTACCTTGGCAAACACTGGAGTGGCCTGGATGTGGCACAGTGATTTCTGAAAAATCTCACTAAATGCTGTCACTGTATCAATTCCTACCATTCTTTCCTTTGGGTCTTAAAGGCTCTTCAGTATTCTGTAGTTCCCAATATTGGAATGCACTTACTTATACTCAGGAAGCAGAGTCCTTTTTTTTCTATTTTTCATTAACGTGATAGAAGTCCTTTTAAGCAGCACCACTGGACTAATAGTGCTTTAGTTAAAGCAAGGAATTATAATGATAAAGTGTGTGTGTGTGTAATATATTAAACAGATATTTTAAAGTTAAAACATATTAATATAGCTTTGCTCACCTGTCAAACTTTTGATGAAAAGCCAAAGCCATTCCACTAATTAGAGGTCCACATATTTTTCTTATATATACTATTCCCAAAATGCTATCTACTAATTCAATTTTTCTCTTTTTAAAGTGGAGTGAGAATTTAAAGTTTACTGCAAAGCAACTTAATTCTCCTGATTTTTTCCATGTTTTAAATTGCCTCGCCACACCTAACTCAATAGCTATTTTTTTTTAAAGAAACTTGCCTTTATTGGAAAGTTTTAAAGCATTCCACTTTTTCACAGAAATAACAAATACCTTTTCATATTTGCATTATGTTAATTTTTATAAATTGCAAATGATAGTAACAAGTACAACAGGCAAAAATATTTGGGAAGAAACATGAATAACTCTCAGTAAATGTCTGCCTCAACTAGTTGAAGAAATGTGAGCATGTACTAGAGAAGTACCCCCAGTGTATAGTCAGCTGCCACGGGCATCAGTCAGTGTATTTTTCAGAAGTGCCGAGCACCTGGTAACTCAGCACATCAGTCAAGGACAGTTGGTCAAGAGCTCAATGAAAGAGTTAGCCCAGTTCCACGAACACTTACGGATTGCTTGATCATTCTTGGGTGTTGGATTTGCTATTGGAGATAGGAAAACCACTAACCTCTATTCTCCAAGATCCCGCAGAAATGGGAATGGCCAAAGAGACACAAATAAAGTTAGGACGCAGCGTGCTAGGTGCTATGGTTACCTCTGGTCCAGGGAGTGCATTTAGGCGACTGAGTCCTCAGATGTGGTTTCTTGGGAGACAGGTCACCTAAGCTGAGTTTTGAAGGATGAGTAGCACTTAGTGAGATTTTTTTTTAAAGTATGCAAGAGGGATGGCAAGCGGGCAGCAAAAGGCAATACCAGTCAGAGCAAGCGGCCTCCCTTGCTGCTGCTCTGGTTTTGTGGCCACCGTCTCTGCATTCGTTCTCACTCGCCCTCTACAAACCATTGTCTGCACAGTAGCCAGAGAGCCTGTTTACAACGTAACCAGACAATAGCGCTCTCCTGCCGAAAACATTCCAGTGGTTTCCTGTTTCCACTGGAATCAAGTCCAAACGTTCTCCCATTTGCCTAACTAGCTCTGCAGGAGCAGGACCTACCTGCATCTCAGAGCTCACCTCCTGCTACGGGCCACTTGCCCCAGGCTCCATCTATGGAGCTCTGCACTTTGCTCTACCTGTGCCCGCTGAGTTGGGACCTGCTCCAATGCCTTTTCACTTCCTTGCTCCATTTGTGGGATGAGGCTCTTGGCCTCAGACCTTCAAATGACTGTCTTTATCTTTCTTATTGTTCCGAGTCTCAGCGCCCGCCCCCTTCCCAATTCCATTATGCCTTTTCATTGTCTCCATAGCTCTCTACTAGATATTTAATTATTCATCTATTTACTTAGATGTCTTTTTCCCCTCATTGATCGAGCTCCCGGAAAGCAGGACTTTTTTTTTTTTGTTCAGCTGAATTCC